AGTGCATCACTCGAAACTGACTTTGCTTTAAATGGCATTGCTCAGAATTGGCTTCGTTTTAAATGCCTCGCTCAGAATTAGCTTTGCCATAAACAAACATTGGGAGAACCGAGGAAAGCCCCCTCCGCCGGGATCAACCAATCCTGAATATCCTGCCTGAAAATCAAGTGGATCCCAGACCCGAAGCATCCAAATCGATTTTCCGCTGGGTGGGATCCACCCTGCAAACTCACCGGTAGGCAAAGAAGGCTGTGAGGATGATGCCAAACAGGAGTAACGTCATCACGAGCGCCAAGATCTCCAGCAAGGAAAACGAGGCTGGGAGGGAGAAGGAAATAATAGTAACAACAACAACAACAACAACAACAATAATAATAATAATACCCAGCATAGTTATCTCATTTGCTGTGTACATTGTCATTTTTGTGTATAACAACAACAAAACAACAACAACAAAATAATAACAACAATAACAATAATAATAAAAACAGAGGAAGAAGATTCGTATGAAACCGATCCCAATTTTGTGGCACCGTGATCAAAATTTGAACCAATGAAAAGCAAACCCCAAATCTTCCAAGCCGGCTCAGTCAAGGTGGTTTAAATCCCACCCCACAAACCAGCCTGAATATATATATCTATATCTGATATTTGATATATCTTGATCCCTGGCCCCAGTTCACAATTCCAGTGGAAGGGAGTTCCGCAACCTAGCGCCTCAAACCCATTTCATGCACTTCCTCTCCCCCAGCTGCACCTTTCTGGCAAAGCGGATTTTCATTTTCAAACCCGCAAAAGGGCACCTCCCTCGGAACGGCGTTGCCTGGCCAGTGGATCTTTTTCCCAGGGATCGTTTCGATCTTCTTGGTGGTCCCGTTGTAAATGGCCACGACCTGCAGAGAGCGAGAAAAAGCAGAAGGGAAAAGAGGATTTTTTTAAAAAAATTATTATTATAATTATTTGGGACTTGGGTAACCTTAACTCAGTGTTTTCTCAGCCTTGGCGATTTTAAGAGGGGTGGACTTCAACTCCCAGAATTCCCCAGTCAGCCATTGGACTGAGGGATTCTGGGAGTTGAAGTCAGCAAGCCGACTGGGGGATTCTGGGAGTTGGCATCCATCCATCTTAAAGCAAACTGGCTGGGGTGGGGAAATCTGGGAGTTGAAGTCCATCCATCTTAAAGGATGCCGGCTGGGGGATTCTGGGAGTTGAAGTCCATCCATCTTAAAGCATGCCGGCTGGGGGATTCTGGGAGTTGAAGTCCACCCATCTTAAAGCAAACTGGCTGGGGGATTCCACTAACCTCAAACACTCCGCTGGCCGGATCCAGATCCCAGAGGGAGTGATCCATTTCCCGGTCTCCGTTCTGATCGATCCGCAGGAGCCCCGTGATTCCTGCAAGGCAGGAGAATTTTGTTTCAAATCAATAAATAAATTAGAATAACCCCAAACCTTCCAATGTCAGAAATGTCCACCTGCAAGGAGACCCCAGGAGGGTCTCTCCAACCACAAATTAGCCTTTTAAAACATCTCCATTTTAAGATGATGAGGTAAAATACGGATCGATTCAAGAATGTCAAGAGGCCAAAAGGAGAGTCACTGCTCTAGGAGGTCGCACTATCAGCCGGGTGTGTGTGTGTGTGAGACTGGATGACCTCCCAGGTCCCTTCTGACAGATTCTAAGCCTGTTTTCCATTAGAGACCTCTAGTGGGGTCGCACCATCAACCCAAGGGTCAGGTTGCATGGCCTTCCAAGGTCCCTTCTGACAGATTCTAAGCCTGTCTTCCGTTAAGACACCTCTAGTCTAGGAGGTGGTCGCCCCATCAGCCGAGGGTAAGGCTGGATGGCCTCCTGAGGTCCCTTCTGACAGATTCTAAGCCTGTCCTGCATTAGAGACCCCCAACTCCCCCCCCCCAAATCCAGGGAAACCTCACCCGCCTCAATTATAGACTCGGACAGCGGATTGGTGCCACCCCGAAATATTTCCCCCCCTCCCATCTTAAGGATGGAGAAGCAACCTGGGCCCGTCTGAAGGATCTCTAATTCTCCCATTCCACACACACCCCCAAAATGTCCCCCTCCTCAGCAAAATCCCACCCGCCCACCTTTAAGAAAAAAATACTCAGGGCCTGCAGAGATATACCAACCTTGAAAAGTCCGGTTACGCATCTGGAGCGTGATGGCCAAGCCGTCGGTGATAGAGCCGCCCAGCGCCAACGTCTCATTTACCGCCTGGCCGTAGAGCATGACCCCGTCGTAAAAAGCCCCCACGATGAAATCTTCCTGGAAAATTCGAGAGATTTTCAGGGTCCAGGGGGGTGGTGAAGTGGGAAAGGTGGGAGAGGGCTGGACTAGAAGACCTCTAAGGCCCCTTCCAAGTCTATTATTCTATGTTTTACGTCGCCGCCGTCCTCCTTACCAGTCCGTCTTCCATGGTGAAGTTAAACTGCTCCTGGGAGGTTCGTTTGATGTCCTGGAGAAACGAGTGGTATTCCGGATTTTGGGGTTCGGTGTAAGTGATGAGCATGACAGCCTGGGGGGGGGGGGGGGGAAAAGGGGAGCAGGACAAAATAACGTAACCCCGATTTTTTTGGGGGGGGGGGGAGCGGAGTTATTTAGCATCATTAACTCGAGCCCACCAGCCTGTTTCGAGACACTTCTGGGAGATGGACTACAACTCCCATCCTCCCTCCCCGACAGCCGAGGCAGTGGGAGTTCCGAAACCCCCCAAACCTTGGGGACAACTGCCCCCTTTTTCCACCCCACCCCACCCCCACTGTTCCATGGGGTCAGGTAGACTTCCCCGACCCATGGAGGCTCCACGGAGCTGCCGTTGTGCAGATATAATCATCCGTAGAACAGTAGAAAGGAGGGGAATGAAGAGATCATCCAATCCAACCCCGTGCCTGGGCCACAAGTGGGTGGTCCTCGGCTTATAAATACTCGGGTAGACTTCCCCGACCCATGGAGGCTCCATGGAGCTGCCGTTGTGAAGATATAATAATCCATAGAAAGGAAGGAAATGAAGAGATCATCCAATCCAGCCTGGGCCACAAGTGGGTAGCCCTCGACTTATAGCTGTTCGTTTAGCGACCAAGAGGCAAACACGAGGACGATGACTTCGAGATGGCCGAGAAAAAAGCATCTAAATTTAAGGCTTTTTGCCCCTCATGGCGTTTCCTTGGGTTTTTCCAGAAATGCCTCTTTCCTGGGCCTTCGTTTATTGCCGGCAGCTCAGCCTGATATACTGCCCCTGAGGCTGGAGGTTCTACGGAACGAGGAACGGAAAAACTACCACGGATCAAGCCTTTCCAGAAATGGTCTGGGACCCGTTTGAAACTCTTTCCGGCTTCTCAAACTGCTTCTCCCGCTCCCCCAAAACGGCCCCCTTTTTAAGTTTTAATTTTTAACTTGAAAAGAGCAACTTTTAGCTCAAACTTTTATTAATAGCGGCAACCTGCCCGACTTCAGCATCCGGACAATTTATCTCCCTTCCTTCCTTCCTTTCTTTCAAACAAGGCCGGAGGAGAGAAAAGCAGGCGAGCCCCTTTCGGTCACTCCACAACCCCTCGTCCCCGGCCTGCCCCCGCCCAAAGCAGGAACTCGAATTCAAGACCCCTTGATTGCATTGAAGTTTTCCTGCAGGGTTGTTTTTTTTTTAAGGGGGGGATTTGCTCCAGAATCTTTAGAGTAGAATTGAGCTGGAAGGGACCTTTTCAAACAAGTAGCTGTCCCATGTCTTCTTGAAAAGAAAGGAAGGAAGGAAGGAAGGAAGGAAGGAAGGAAGGAAGGAAGGAAGGAAGGAAGGAAGGAAAAGTGGGAGGAAGGAAGGAGATCATGGATGGAAAGAAGGAGATAATGGAAGGAAGGAAGGTGATAATGAAAGGAAGGAAGGAAGGGAAAGTGGGAGGAAGGAAGGAGATCATGGAAGGAAGGAAGGAGATAATGGAAGGAAGGAAGGTGATAATGAAAGGAAGGAAGGAGATAATGGAAGGAAGGAGATAATGGAAGGAAGGAAGGAAGGAGATAATGGAAGGAAGGAAGTAGATAATGGAAGGAAGAAAGGAAGGAAGGAGATGATGGAAGGCAGGAAGGAGATAATGGAAGAAAGGAAGGAAGGAGATAATGGAAGGAAGGAAGGAGATAATGGAAGGAAGGAAGGAGATAATGGAAGGAAGGAAGGAGAGAATGGAAGGAAGGAAGGAAGGAAGGAGATAATGGAAGGAAGGAAGGAGATAATGGAAGGAAGGAAGGAAGGAAGGAGATGATGGAAGGCAGGAAAAAGATAATGGAAGGAAGGAAGGAAGGAGATAATGGAAGGAAGGAAGGAGATAATGGAAGGA